AAATTTTATCCTCATTTCCTGGGTGATTGATTGATTTCTTCCTCTTTCTTGAGCTCTTTTTTCTTATCTTCTGGGTTTTCTTAAAGATCTCATTTTTCTGTTTTTCTCTGAAATTTCAGGGACTTTGCTTTTTTTTCTTTTCCTTCGTGAGCTAAAATATTAAAAGATCTCATCTTTTAGCTCTTGAATTGATAGACTTTCGATTTTACTTTAGCTCCTTTGAAGTGGATTTTTGAGAGATTCAGCATTTGGAGGAAGGAACTTATGGTGATTGCTTTCTTTTTAGGGTTTTTAGGTGTTGAGTTCTGGATTTTTCACGCGCCTTGGATTTGATCTAATCTAGCTTTAAATGTACATGTCTTATCTGTTTATATTCACTGGGATTTCGAATTTGGGATCCTTTGTTATAGGGTTGAAATTTCCATCTTTGTAAGAAGGCTTTTTTAGGGTTCTTGTGAGATCTTTGTGTTTGATTTAGTTTTTGAATTGAGAAATTAGGGTTTTTCTTGTTCTCTCTCATCTGAAAAATGGAGGAAGTTGAAGCTGCTAACAAATCAGCTATAGAAAGCTGTCATGGAGTCTTAAATCTCTTATCAAAAAGTGATCCCAAATCCCTAATGGTTGAAACAAGAGAAGCAGTTTCCAAGTTTAAGAGAGTAACTTCTTTATTAACCAGAGGAGGAGGGTTAGGTCATGGCAAGTTTAGGAGAATCAACAAGTTTAGGTCATCATTTCCTCAACATATCTTCTTGGAGAGTCCTGTTTGTTGTGGTAATGATATGAGTAATGATTACACTCAAGTTCTTGCACCAGAGCCTCTCCAGATGGTTCCAGCTCCTATTGTCTATGATGAGATTGACCAAAAACACCATTTGGGTCATCCTCCGTTGATGCTTAGTCACAAAATGTGTGTTGAGAAGTCGTTTCTGGAGTTAAAGCCACCGCCTTTTCGAGCTCCTTATCAGTTAATCCACAACCACCAGCAAATAGCTTACTCCAGGAGCAATAGCGGTGTGAATCTTAAGTTTGATGGATCTGGTAGTAGTTGCTATACCCCGAGCGTATCGAATGGATCAAGATCATTTTTGTCATCTCTTAGTATGGATGCTAGTGTGGCGGATTACGATAGGAACTCGTTCCATTTAAGCGGATTGTCCCGTGGGTCTGACCAGATATCGCAGCATTCCAGGAAGATGTGCTCTGGTAGTTTGAAATGTGGAAGTCGAAGCAAATGTCATTGTTCCAAGAAAAGGTTCGTTCATTTTCTTTGTGGTTATGTGACCCTTTTATTGTTTTTGTATCTCTCTGTAAATATTTGTATCTTTTACAGGAAACTGAGGGTGAAACGATCAATCAAAGTGCCTGCAATCAGTAACAAGATTGCGGATATTCCTCCCGATGAGTATTCATGGAGAAAATACGGGCAGAAACCGATAAAGGGTTCACCACATCNACGGTACATATACATCTTGTGGTGTAAGATTCTTCTAAATATGTTCCCATTTAATATAATTTCCTTCGTTTGTAGGGGATACTATAAATGCAGCAGTGTGAGAGGTTGTCCAGCAAGGAAGCATGTGGAGCGATGTATCGATGAAACTTCGATGCTAATTGTGACTTACGAAGGCGAGCATAACCATTCAAGACTATTGTCTTCACAGTCAGCTCACACCTGATGAAACCGAGTCAGCGCTTATCTTTCCTCATCTAGTCTCGGATTCGAAGAAACAATGAATTAGATTCGAGATACCGGTCTTTGTAACTGTGATTTGCAATTGTATATTTCACATTGACATGAGTTGTAAGAGCACTTGTGAGCTCGGATTCTGTAGCAGTACCGAGAAGCAATCATGAATTTGGCTTTTGCCGAGTGTTTTCATATCTACAGATCGGTTGTAGTTTATAGCTCACCAACGAGGAATACTGAAAATGGGAGTCTGTGAGTGGAAATTGAAGTCAGTGTAAGCTTTGCTTGACTCCTAATTAATTACATTGGTGGGTTTTGCTTCGCGGGTTAAGACTACGATTGAATTTTGTGTTGTGTAATGAAGCAATCTTTGGTTTGCAACGAAAGGATGTGTCAACTATAGAGCCAAACCTAAGATTTTTTGTTTTTGTTTTAAAGAAATAAAAGCTAAAAAAGAAAACCAAAATGGATTGGTGATGAAGAAGATTCATCTATATCCAACACAGAACTCTCCAAAATGTAAAATTAAATAAGAAAATCAAAGCTTAACTTAGTTTATCAAGTCACAAAGCATTGATATTGTAACAGAGAAGGACTAGGTTACGAGAGAAGTATAGGACTCTCAACATGATCGAAAAGGATATCAATGTCATCCGAGCTATCAATTCCTTGTATCACAACTTTTCTGGCACTCTTTTCCTTGATATTGTAACAGAGAAGATAAAACTAAGTGATTAAATCTCTCCAAGAAGGAACATCAACAGAAGCATTAGACCATTCTTGTTTGCTGGCATCAAGAATCCGTAGGTCAAGTGTATCGTCAAAACACGTGCTCGCTAAAGCTACATTTCCGTTGTAGTTCACAAGATCATACGAAAACTCATGCACAAATCGGAGATCCTCAGGTAACCTAATGACATTAAACTCTTCAGAGTTGAGATTAAAGCTTATTATAGATCCTTCACTCTTGACATAAGCATAGTAATACACAACACCATTCACGAATACACCTTTCACTTCACAAGGAAGACGATGAGGATGCTTGCATTTGACCATTCTCCATGCTTTTTCTTGATCACCTACACTAAAAACCTGATGCTCTTCTGCTAAAGCTCGGTTTTGATCAACATTTTTCACCGTCAGGCACAACACTTTATTATAGGTGAAGTTACGAACTGACCTGTGCTCGGATTCCCAACCAACACGTCAGACTCGTGTCGACCGCAGATCAAGCCCCGGATTGGTGGAGAAAATACATATCGTAGATTCGGATTCAAACCACTGTTTACTCCCTCATGATCATAAGACGGATCCTCCTGAGAGCATGACTGAAACATGTGGGAATCGTCACGGTGGGCTCTGAAAAGAAGACGAGGGCGAGCCATGTACTGATCCGTGAAATATTTGCCGCGGATTATCGATTCCGATGGCTTAGAAACGAATGCGAGCATGGCGATAGATTTCACTGGCAATTTCATGAGAATCTCAATTATAAGATCCACATGAATCCTAGAAAATGGATTTTTTTTTTTTCTGGCTTTTCTCTTGTTGCTTCTTCTTAGACCTTGTTAGATAGTCTGATTTGATCACGGTCGTCTCTTTATTTCGCTGGCTTTCCTCCTCTTGTTGCTTCTTCTTTGACCTTGTAAGATATTCTGATTTGACCACCATCGTCTCTTTCTTCTGTACCCTTTTCATTGGCGATTTTCAATCTCTCCCTCACTGCTTACTCTGAAAATGAACCCTAATGGATTAGGGTAACTGCAAATATAAACCCTTCAAAATATCGATTCCAATTCCTGATATTTCGGGATTTGCAAATCAGAAATTTCTTCATTCAAAATTTTGACAGAAAAGTCCTTTCCTTTTTTGGTGTTTTTGTTTTCGAGTTGGTTCAGTCACACACTTTAAAAACTGTCACTGGAATTAAAAATACACTCGATAATTTCTACTGAATTTTGCAATAAAAACTGTCGAACAATGAACAAAACTTTCATAGGTAAGACAGGATTCAGCTGCTTCTGTAAACCAAGTATGTAAGTGTACACTCAAGTCACTGTAAGCTTTGCAAACCTAATCTGTATCTATGGAATTTCCTTCACAGAAGTTGATATGCTTTAGCTTCTTCCTTCTCTCCCACCGATGTTAAACCCGGAAACTGCCCAATATCATGACCAGCAAGAGGACTTAACCTGTCATGTAAACCGATTGCAAACTCTTCCGGATTAGCTTCACCCTTCTGTAAGAAATCAGCAATCTGCAGAGGAATACAAAACATTTGTAATCTTTTCTTCTGCAATAAGCAGATTCTAAGACAAGAACGCAGCCTTGTTAACAAGAGTCATTATAAGAAAAGCTTCTTACATGGTTTCCGAGGGCTTCGCCGCTTAAAGCTGCAGATTCTAAGTTAGAACCGAGAAGCCAGTCACCGCATATACCAGCACGGCCTTGTGGATCAAATATACATGGAACTGCAGGAGTGTTCTTTGGAAGAGCTGCTCCCCTGTAAAAGAATATTGAATCCCTCTACTCCACATATCTTCAAACATTTTAGCAAAGTCTATACAGTTTTTTACTTACCATAGCTGGAGACGTGTATAAACCGGTTTAGGAAGCGACCCTTCAGGCAAGCCTAATGCGATTTCCACACCTTGAAGCATACCGGCTCTAACTTTCTCTGACGTGACCGTTGGGATGTTTTCCTAAGAGGAAGGGAACCAATTGGTTTCTACAGTTTTCACATTCATGTTGTAAGCTTTGAAGAGAGGAAACTAACCTGAGGAACTTTGTTCTGTTTTCCGTATGATGCAGTACTGAAGAAAGTCCAACAATGTGGAGCTTTGTCATTTCCAAGCTTTGCAGAGTTGTTTCCCATCCAAGACAATGATCCCACTCCTTTCACAAACGCTCCCTCGAAGTTTACAGTAGGAAGAGGATCATCGAAAGCTGCTAATAGCGCCCATATGGAACTCAGATCCAGTTTCTACAACAAAAAAGGAGGATTGTATGAGAAGAGGTCAAAGGGTTTAGAAAGACGATCTATTCCGCTAGAGATCGTCTACCTTCATCTGTTTAGCAACTAAAGGCAAGCCTGATGCAGAAAGCAAACGATTCGCACATTTACCTGAACAAAAAGTGAACCATTTTGTATGAAAAAATAAGACATAACAAAGCATTTCAAGCTAGAGAAAGAGATACAGAAACGCTTCTTACCATTATGAGCAATGACAATTACATCAAACTGACCACGAGGAGTTCCATTCTCACTTAGGTGCCACATTCCATTTAATGGTTCCAGCTTACTAATCCAACAAGGCCTAACCAAATTAACCATTTGACTCTGCAACAAATCAACCAGTATTCCTTACTTTAGCTCACAAAAAGTAGAAAAAAAGACTCAACATTTGCTGCACAGAGATAAACATATCGTACCTCTAAAAGCAATGAATCAGCGAGAGACCGCATGCCATTAACTGCAATGTATCTTGGAGGCGATGATGGATGAAACTGTGAGAAACTACCCCCAATTTCAAGCTCTCCAATAACACCATTCCACTCTCGAACAAGTCCTTTCTCTAACCACTCATCGACATATCGGATAAACCGAGAATCATTCGCGGTGAAGAATTGAGCAGCGTGGTCGAAAATTAGTCCTTGTGGTTCAATAATCCTTGTTCCAAGTCTTCCTCCTAACCCATGTATCCCCTACACAAGTTACATCAACGCAACACAAGAGAGTCTTACTAATTCGATTCAATCAACCACATTTGATCCCCAAAAAAGCTTGGATTTTTAAGTGAAATTACAACAGCAAAAAACACCCATAAACCACAAATTTCACATCACTTCACCGACCAAACTCTAATTCAGAGAGTTTGCGAAGGAACTAAACAGACGAACCGTATCGAAAACCGTGGATTGGACACCACGAGCTTCCAGGTTCTGGGCGCAGACAAGACCCGCCATTCCGCCGCCGATAATCCCCACGTGGGGATCTTCGGAGACACGTGCGGTGAAAGTAACCTGTTCTTGTAAGAATGATTTCTTGAGGATCGATCTTCTAGAACTTCCATACTTTGAGGAATTTCGCCGTTTCTGGAAATTAGGGTTTCTGCTGCTGGGGTTTGACTTCCCGGTGTTCTTCTGAGAATCGCAGGTTGTAATAATTTTTCTGGTGGTGGTTGATAGATCAGGGTTTCTGGGTTTAGCTAGGGTTTTGAGTTTCAGAGGTTGAAGAAATGAAGAAGACACTGGGATTAAAGAAGTGGCCATGGTTGAATTTTGGAGGGAGCACAAAGATAAAAGCTTAGTGAGATTATCTGTTATCTGTTAAAATTTCGGAACTGAAATTACCATTTTATCCTCCGTATTTTTCTTGTAAATCCTCTGAGTTGCAACTTGCAACATTAAAAATACTCATTTATTTATGTTTGTAGAACAAATTTGTTCTTTCTGAAAGGTATATCACCATGAAAC